ATGCAGCATTTGCAGTAGGCGAGAAAGTCTCAAGATAATCCACACCATGCTTCTGCTTGAAGCCCTTCGCTACAAGCCTAGCCTTGGCCTTCACTATCTTGCCTGTTTCATCTGCTTTCCATTTGTAGACCCATCTAGCATCTATCACGTTACAGCCTATCGGAGCCTTTACTGCTAACGCAAACGTTCCTGCTCTTAACAAGCCTTCAAATTCTACAGACATGGCTTCGTCCCAAATCGTGGAATACTTTGATTGGCGGGCTTCTTGATAGCTACCCGGTTCTGACTCTACATCTAATTAGTACTTTCGGCAATTCCATTGCATCAGATGCTCTCTGTTCGACTAAGAGTGCCAATATTATTTCTGATGCGGAGATGGGTCCTAGAGTGGCCATGAGGCCGGGTACGCTCTGCTGATTTACTGCCCGAGTTTCCGCACGGGTTCTGCCTTCTCTGACCTCAACATTCTCATTCATAGCAGTGTTGTAACTAGCAAGCTCATGCCGCGCACGACGATTGGATGGTACGTGCGTAGCAGGGGGAAATGCCTCCGATTGTACCTCCTGCCCTCCCGGCTCAACCAACTCTTCATCCAAACCTTCCTGACTCTCCGACTCTACCTCCTGCCCTCCCGGACCCGCCGATTCTGTCTGCCCTGTCTCCGGCCCTCCCTGCCCTCCCTCATCGGAGAACTCGTCTGCTGGAGAAGACACAGGGGGAGCTGCGCTACTAGGGGAATTAATCGCGGGCGAAGATGGCATAGAGGGGGGTTGACCTACACTGCCTGCATCAACACTGCCAACCTCATCGATTGTTCCACCAGAGATATCACGTCGCAAAAGAATGTGGGGAACTCCTCTCCCTAAAAGCGGCCATACCTCAGCTTCTATATCGTCGTCACGTTCCTCCCCTCCCTGCTCTGCAACCTCTATCGGCAAGAGAGACGGTTGCGGTGGAGGGAGCTGTGACGGCAACGCTTCCCATGTCACATTCCTCGTTTCCTGAATAGTTCCAGCCCTCGTAAGTACTCTATGACAGTCACGCGGGTGGTCTCTCGAAGGACCGACATAAAAGCAAGCCTCACCCTTCGGTAGCAGCTTAGACGGACGCTGCCACCTACAGTACGCCGGTTTCAAAAACGGATACGGTCTAGCATGACTAGCTTCACCATGCCACATCTCATACGGTGACTTACTGTCGGGGTTAGCGGAACAAGCTGTGTGGTTAATTGCTTCGCAAGCCCAATGCATCGCCTCAGCCCATAGTCTATCAGTCTTAGGTAATTGCACATGCCCAAACAAAACTTTTGCCTGATTACGAACAGCCATTGCCGCCGCCTCAATCAATCCCAAACCACGCTCTGCAACACCGTTGTATTGGGGACTGTAAGCCGGGGTGAACTCTTGCTTAATCAAGAGCTCGTTGCACACGGACGCAAATTCTCCTCCGACAAACTCCCCCCCATTGTCAGATCTAACAATCTCAACCAATGATGGGATACCATCAGCACGCACACTTGCAAGGAAACTCCGGAAAGCACTCGCAGCGTCTGATTCACTTTTCAGGAAATACATCCATGTCCGTCTTGTGAAATCATCCTTCACTATCATGGGGTAATGTTTACCCCCTACGGACGCAACGTCCTTCCGCCCTCCCAGGTCAACAAAAACTCTGCCCAACTTTTTGTCTGATCTGCATTTTGTTTCATGAGCAATCCCTTTCTTGAATGCCTTCGACATCGAACATCCCGTACAAGCATGCATTTTACCGGTCAACTCGATACCTAGTCGCTTTGCAGTTGTACGAAGCAATCCCTCATGCGAATGAGCATAAATGTTATGAAACTCGTTCACATCCATCTTAGATTCATGCTTGGGGTTCGAAGGAGTGAGGGCAGTTAACACCGAACCAACAGATTTATCTTCAAGACGATACGCAGTCTTAATTAGCATGCCATCGAAGCTCTGAAAAATAGTATGTCCGTCGAAAACAGTCATCACACCATCAGGACCACCAAGCAAGGTAATTCCATGACTCACCACCAATCTGCGCTGGGAGAAAAGAGGTGATATCCCAAGTTGGGAGATTACAATACATGCTCCAACTCTACAGAAACTCAAATCAGCAGTCACAAACACCAACTCCAAGGTTCCAGACAGTGCTCTGGCTCAAGGGTAGAAAGTGATCTTTCAACACTCGAAATGCCTTGCTGGGGAAACCTGCATGCCTAGCCATGGTTTTGAGAGAGTTCTTCAAACAGTCGAACAAAATCCACCTTGATATCTCAGTCTGGCACAGCACACCCATGTATGTTGTATCCTTTCTCTACCCAGGGGGTCAGATCGAATTCAATGCTTGCAATCGAAATCTCTACATGTAGCACAGAAACAAAAGCCTCATACAGATTATTGTTGTGGGCACTCAGTAGAAACAATTGTGACCACGACGGATATGACACGTCCGTCCCGTCAAAAACAGAAGCTTTGGGAACTTTGAAAAGGACTCCTACCCAAGTTTTCTCCTGTGTTATTAATGCCGACCCCAGGAATATATGTGTTTCCACTGGCGACACATCCCCACCACTCACTCGATGGAGTAGATGGGGGCGGAATGGAAGACTGGCTACCTAAAGCCCCACTAACCATTCCCGGAATGGAAGACTGACTATCCACCTAAAGTCCCACTAACCATTCCCGAACCGAAAGACTGGCTACTACCCGAAGCCCCACTAACAGTTCCAATCGAACCAAAGCTTGCAGCACCAGCAGAGGGACGATTTACAGCAGATGCATGAGGGTTCAAGTCTGAGTCTAGAAGACTACTACTCCCAACTCTCACGCTGGACATGCCAAGGACTTGGGCACTGCTGCCCTTACCTCCCGCAGTCCTGCCAGTAGCATCTACAGGATGCCAACCGGCGTCGGTTCCGCCGCTGGCTCTACCACCAGCAGAGGAACGACAAACAACAATTGCACGAAGGTTCAAGCCTGAGTCTGCAAGACTACTACTCCCAACCCACATGCTGGACATGCCAAAGCCTTGGACACTACTGTCCGTACCTCCCACAGTCCTGCCAGTGACATCCGATTGATGCACACCAGCATACTCTGTTCCGCCGCTTCCCGGCGCAGCAGCAAATGAAACAGAGGACTCCACCTGATCACCTCGTTGCCCAACAAGCGACTTGATTATGCTCGTGAGCTGGGACAACAGTGTCTCAATCGAATCCAGTCTCTCACCACCAATAACATCCCGCGAATCACCCGGAGGTGGGTAATCCACATGATCCCCAGCAGGCCCACTCATCACGAAGCAAGGTGATCAATCTTCCTCCGTTCAGTCTTGACGTACAGTCCAAGGGGACAAGCAGCAGTCGACTGGTTCGCTATAGCGTGTTGGTAAACTCGTGGCTTCTGGGGAAAAGATGTTGTATTGATGAGACCTTGGACCAGGAGAACAGGTCAAAAGGTGGAGTGAGCAAGGGTGGGGCGAGCACCGCAGCGCCGCAGCACCACCCGTCGCTCGACCAACGGACGAAAGCAGAACACAATATCGGAACACAATAATATCGGAACACAACGACTCAACAGGGGCCAACGTACTTCACAACGTACCATGAATCCTCTGGTTGATGCACTATCCATAAAGAATACACTCGGGGAAATGCACCATCCACGAGGAGCATTCCTACAGAACGTTCCTTGCTGTTCTGATAATATGTGGCTACTCAGCGATCTGCAACATCGACAGTCCCTCAATTCAAACTGTCCAATCATATTGTGCTACGTTACTCTGTCGACACACACAGCAGCAACTATCACGAACACCGGGAACGTTCTGGGAACCAAATACCGTTCTGTAAGACCAAAAGCACTGTTTGTTCCGGAAACGTTCCGGGAACCTTTCTCATCTTCTTACTCTGGACTTTTCCCTAGAACATTCCTGAGAACCGTTCCGTTCTAGGAAAGTATGCCCGATCTAGGAAACATACGAACCGTTGGTTACGGAATCTACCGCGTGGATCGTTCTAGATACATACATACCTGTCCCGAAATATCGTTCGTCAAGTTGAATTTACTTCCTTGATAGCTTATTGTACCGCGTTTAGTGTGCGTTATCAGGTATAATACTGAAACTGGTGTAGTTTTGTGCTCCTACTGAAATCGCTCATGATGTATGTGACATCGCATACTACTGTGTTGTACTCAAGAGATTACGAATAACAGCAGTCTTTATCAGTTGATACCACCACATCCCGTTCGACTGTGGGTACATCTCGAATGGGTAGTCTTTCTGTGTGTGTTTTTTATTATTGATATTTTTAACAACCTCTGCCAGTAACGTATCTATCTCAGCTTACCCGTACCGTATTCTGAACACGCACGTGTGATTGGTTGACGTTGCTGAATGCCAGGTGTGCCTGATTCCATGATTTCCCGAGGATGGGCGCGCACACCCGCCCCATCCTCACTCTGTCTCTCCTCTGGTTTTCTCTCTGCATTCTTTCCCGTCTCCACTCTGATCAAGCAACTACAATTAGTTCCACCAATCCATCTTCTTCTCCTTCGGACCTCGTGGGTACGCAGAGCCAAAGCCTCTCGCACTACACAACTCCAAGTCCAGCGGTCAACAAGAAGTAAGTGAGTTCGCCGCCGCGCATGCAGCTACATACAGGTTTTTTCGAACAGGTTCACACGCAGCCTTGCGTTGCGCGCTCTGCTTGTTTTCATCAGCGGTCATTGCTGCATACATACGTAAGTAGGGTTCTGCTCGCGAGACACGCTGCGGAGAGAGAACGCGCCAACTCAAGACGAAAAAAAAACGATACATAGACTATACGGGATTATTATGGTCACAAGCATACAAACAGATCTATCTGCTGGACTTTTGACGGGCTGCTTTTGACTTGTGAAACTCCAGGTGTGGGGCACACGTTGTTGGTCGTCGGCAGATTTGGTGGAACTAAAGCAAAAAGGAGACACTTCAGGGTAGGTTCGACCATGAGCTCTGCACCTGCTCCTACTCAGGCGTCAGCGGGTGAACCAGGTTTGTCCAACGCCACCAGCGGGTCGCAAGTGGTCATCATCTTGGACCATTTCTCGGAACATTCCTTGGGTACATACTGCTGTGCAGCTCGTGCACAGCCTACATTATTATCAAGCGTTGCACAGCGACCTAGCCCTTGGCCCCTCTTGCTCCCCACGGCTTGCCGCGGCCTTGCCGCACGCTCTACACGCTCACCACTGTACGTACAGTGACCTACCGCTTACCAAACCAACCTCTGGGTCAGTCAGTCCTGTACCTACAGTGACCTACCGCTTACCAAGCCATACCTTTGGGTCAGTCAGTTGTTGGGCTGGGGATAGGGATGATAACGGTGCGAAAAAACTGCCGAACAGCCTGGGTTCGATCCAGGGAGGATTCAGTGTTGTATCTGTTCCTCCTCCGCCACACCGACCAACTTACAAGAAGAACTCAAACAAATGAGACCGGATTCAGTGGCACGAAAATTGAGGGAACGGGCCGTTAGTCTTGTGCCTCGCGGTTCTTCCAGGTGAACACAAAGGATTTTTTTTAATAGACAGTTTCGGAACCAAAAAAAAAGCTGAAATAAGGAAAAATATTTTGAGTTAAGCCATCGTTCTGAGGATCGTTCCTATCAGTCTCGCCAGAACCCAAGATAAGGGGTAAATAATCAGATTTAACAGCGCGGAGGGAGGCTCGTTTTGTGGAAAATTTTGCCAACTTTTCGATTTAGCAGCTTTCTTTGAAATAACACATCAGGCACCACACACAACACATCATCAGGCACCACCCACACGCACACACACAGTCTGCAAGGGCATATCCAGCGGCCGCCCAAATAAAACCCAGCGCCCAGCGCAAAGGCCCTGGAGTTGGCGCGCCACCAACACAGAAAGGGGGAGGCTGCACGGTCAGAAAACCAAGTTGGGGTTGGTTGTTGCGCGGCTCTAGGTCAGCAACACGCGCCCGTCACACATAGGTTGAAGCAAGGGGGAGAAAGAGCGCCGGAACGAACCGCGGCAACCGACGACGTAGAGGAGGTGGCAGCACCGTCAGCAAAGGGCAGAGAGGAGGAAGAGCACGCAGTTGTCTTCTGGTGACGCGCCGCAAGAGTATTCTCTGCTTCTACTTGAGAGAGCGTGTTTGACTTCGATGTGCCCCCGCCCCCAAAAAAACACCCTCTCCCCAACGCTTGAAATGCGATACACAGCACTTCGTACAGGACTGCCGGGCAGTATGTATGTGTACTTCCTGTCGCTGTTCTGGTGCGAGTTCGTGTGCTGGGGTTGAGGGGGCAACACAGACACGCACACGCATGCATGCACGCACACTCAACAGCAGTGGGAGCGCGGTGATCAGGGTGCAGCTGTCACGCAGCGCACCACCACAAAAAACAGCAGTACCTGCGAACAGGGGAAGTTCGTTGGGTGACTGTCGTCCCACAGCCAATCACATGAAACCGCCTTAAATCGGAAAATATTCGCCTGCAGGAAGTTTCCAGGAAACTTTCTTATCTCAAAATCTGTTTCCTTATCTCAGCAAATTTGGAGCCCCAGTCCGAAACTGTGTAATATATCGCGGGAACATATGGATGGGAGCAAAACAACCAAGGCACAAGTTTAGTCTAGGCCTTCTAATCCAAAATCGGGGTCCGGGTGATTTTGGGGGGGAGTCAAATGTTTTTCTTTTGTTCAAAGGGGGTTCGTGAAACGCAAGGCTTGATGCACCGCTCGAAACTGGGTTAAGGCCAGATCAGGGGGTGTAATTTACCGTATATGGTACTTCAATAGGGAATTTAGTATGGTATACTATAACCTATGTATTTATTGTATAGGATTTGTACGGCTTCATATTTTGATGTGATGCTCTATTGTAATCTACATACTCCACACGGTCACACACAGACAGACAGCATGCAGCAGCCGTACGAACATTTTGGCGGGAGCGGTAGGTAGGAGGAGTGGACTGGGCGGAGACCGGAACCAAGGGTTTTATAATCTCAAAGACAACTAACAACAAGACTTCAAGCTATAGATGGGGGTTTTATGGTGCGATACTACAGCCTATCTATGCAATATAGAATGAAACTATTTATCACCACACAATATCCTATAGAACGCGCCTTGAACAAACTTAACCGCCCGAAAAAGAGGGGGGGGGGTCAGCAATACATCAGATCAAAAGGCTTGCGTTTCACGAGCCCCCTTGCATGATTGCCTAAGGGGCACCATGGATAGAATATCCCCAGCGGTAGGGAGGGTATTGACTTACGTTCTTTCGTGAACGAAGCCCCAATACGAATTCCTATATAATACTTCAAGAGGCGCACTGACTTGTGGTCTAGTGGTCATCGTGCTTCTCAACAAAAGTTGTGTGTGGGGTTCGAATCTCTCCTTGAGCATTTTATCCTTCGAGGATTTTACTTGCGTCCTACGTGTTCGTGGCTCGAAAGAAAGCTTGACGGACTCGAGCATGAACTTTTGTAAAAGAGGCACGATGACCACTAGACTACTAGTAGGCGCTGACTGTTGGTCTAGTGGTCATCGTGCTTCTCAACACTACTTGAAAACTGAAATTGAAATTGCCCTCCCGGGGGTGAGGGAGGGGGTGGCCTTACTAGTTGTCCGGAATTTTTCAGATAGACCCTTGGAGGCATCTCCGACCCGAATCGAGAACTCGACCTGCCGTCCTGTAGACCCTATAATCGCGGCGTATCCCATGCGACAAAGAATTATAGGGTACTCTCGTTGATGCAGTCGCCTTCCGTTTCTCGATCTCGTGAAAGAAATCGCCAAGGTTGAGGAGACACAACAACAGCAGAAGTCTCCGTTCGTTGTCCTTACAAGCTGCATGTTTTCCACAACGAACGACAGTCACGCAAGGGATGCTTCTCCTTCGAACCTCTGCATTGGGGATCGGAAGTCCGTGACTCCCTCTTTTACGATGGTGTAGGGCCCGTGCCCGGCCTCTTGTAGATATGCTCATATTACACACGCTCATGTTAGGGTCGAATTGCCCCTCCTGACACGTTAGTTGTTTGTGTGGGATGATGCCATTGCAGGCGGCCGAATACCTCTAGACAAAGGAGCTTCGTTCACAGAACCACGTCCTCGCTCGTCGTTTTCACTTCGAGATGGAGGTGCCGCATGTTTAGCACTGGCCACACACGAAACTGTATATGATTATCCAACCGACAGTCAGTTGTGCTATTCCGTTTGCGGGTGGTCACAGCTCCTGTCTCTTGTGCGCTACCACAGCCAAAAACGTTGAGCCATCCTTTGAAGGAGAAAAATGTGGGGTGTGGCGGCCGTTTCGGGTTGGTTCGACGTATATAGACTGTATAGTCTAAGCTTGCAGAAACAAGTCTGACGGTTGCACACGCGGATCATTTGCTAGCACATGCGCTACAACCCCACATGAAAATACTACGCCGTTTGACCGGTCACGTCAGAAAAGAGGGTGCTCGCCGTGTGCCCAACCAAACGAAACCAGACGAAGTAAGGGTGAGGAAACAATATACCACCGTAGAATTCATCGCCAGGTCTCGTGGTTGAGAAAGATGTCAAGTGGCTGGCTACCCGTTTGTCCTTGCGTTGCTGCTCACGCACACCACCCTCACACCGAGCTAGTAACTACTCTGCCAACTGTGCAGCCCTTTCTCATGCCTCCGAAGTATGACCCTTGTTCCTGAAGACCACCTTTTTCTGCCCGGCGGCGAGGTTCATGGCGCCTACAGAACCTATCTAGGCAGCACTTGGGTTCAACAAAGTGCGTGCTGGCCGCATATTCTCGGGAACTAACTGTTGTGCCTCGAAGATACCCCAGCTTATGCTTGGACTACACATGTATGTGGTAGGTAGGACCTTGATGGGGCTCCGGGTGGACTTGCTGCTCTACGTGTTGTGCTCTCGTTGTTGACACGCCTTTTCCGCTTTCGCGTACGCGTAGGATGCCTTTCTACCTCAGGTGCCAGGCTGGGCACCATAATGAGCAGGTCCTTGTTCTCTCTCGAAGATATTGTTCTCTACATCGTCGTGGCCGTGCGGTCCTACGTCGTCTGGATCTTATCTAGCACCTACTATAGAGCGATGAACGTCCCTGGCTTGTCCGACGTTCTCCGTCAAGTGTCGTCATCTCCCCGCATTGCTGCGGGTCCGCCCGCGGCCCCTCCTTCTCCTGCGGAATTGTCCCCATCAGCACCGCCTCGATCTTCGTGTAATCATCGGGTATCAGGTCGGTTTATACATGCTGAAGTAGGGATTGGCACAAGGTTCTAATGTCTGCCCCAGAAGTTGTAGTGCAGCCCTTGAACTACCCCGCAGATGTGAAGCTGAACTGATCATCGAGCTACGATGATGCGTTTCGTATCCCGCAGAAAGTCGCAGCGCTTGGAGCACTCGTGGGTGCATTGTGGAAGGCGTCCTGTTCACCGTTGTCTGTGGGTACTGGATGAGGGGGTTGTGGCCGCTCGATCCTCTCACCTTGGGGAAAATGTTCGCTGGCGCAATCTTTCGTCTTCCTGTGCAGTACATAGTGCACCATGCGTTTCCCGAGCTGCGATGGCTGTGGAGCGCACAGGTAGTATCCGTGGAACACACAAACATCGATGGGGAACGAGTCGTCCTGTTGAATAGCACCAATCTTGATGGTATAGACCCCTCCGAATACGACTTCTTTCAGAAAGTGTATAGTTTTGTTGTGTTCACATTTGCCCTGGTTACGATACCTGGAGATCTTGGGGCGTCAATTTCCGTAGTGTTGATTTCACATCTGTCCCTTGTTTTTAGCGTTTTTCAAGTCGCGGTTGTGATCGTCATATATTTCTCGTGTTGGACTATTTGTTTGACCCACCTCTTGTATCGACCCTTCATCAAAACAGCCATTTATGGCCGGTTTTTCCAATGGGAGCTGATTTGCATGACCCAGCCAAGGTGTAGACACGTGCGAGCCTTTTTACTAGCCGGCGGCATGATCTACGCGGTTTTGTTGCACTTGTCTCCCGCACCTTCCAAGTGGACCTGGAGCTTAATTGTGACGCACTCCACCAGGCTATTGAGTCTCTTGATTGCCCTCCGAGGTGACAACGAAGGCGTAGCAAATGCGGCCGGGGAGATCGTTGCGCATGTGCCCGAAGCGGTGTAGGGGGTGGAGTCGACAACGTGCCTACGCAAGTGCGGAATCGTCATCGGTGTGCAGTAGAATCCACGTTATGATTGCATTTTTGCGATAGGTATGTCGACATGTGACGTGTTACTTTGCGATCTTGGAACAATACGGTCTGGGTAATATATGGTGCCAGACAAATTAACGGATTGGTACGAAAAAACGTCCGCGTGAGTTTCGTTCGCGGTGCCGGCTCGAAGAGTTCCTGAGCAATTGCCATACTGCTGTGGCTTCGGATAAAACGACACGAGGATTGTTGCGAACGAGGTTCGGGTGTAGGTGGGGCTGGAATCGGAGCAATTTGGCGAAGGAATACGGTGGTGTTCGAGGCAGCACGACAAGCACGTCCATATACGCTACCTACCAGTGTACCTGGTATAGTCTACGGTTTCTACCAGGACCGTGCTAAATCAATCGCTCGAGACTAGTTTACTCGTGGCTGAAGACCGCCTTCGCTCTCGACGTGATATAGATGAGTTCGAAGCATCCCATCGCCACGAAGCACATACACTGTGTTGGTAACCGAACCGAAATCTACTAGGCGATAGGTGACACCGGGAGGTGAATCGCTCAACCCTCACCGCTTTTGGCCGACGACGTTATGTGGTGTCGATGAAGACAGTTTGTATGTACCATCAACGTAATAATGTCTGAAAATTGTCTTGAGCAGGGTCTTCAGGGATTCCTGTGAGTATTATGCGCGTAAAACTTCCTGGGATATTCGATGGGTTTTTCCACTAGGCGGAACCGAAGTCTCGAACTACTGTACTGCTGACGTGTTTGTAACCTCGCTGGCGAAATGTTCCTCGCCGAACTCGAACCCTCAAACCGTTTTTCACGATGTTAGCGACTTTAGGACGATGTACTCGATTTCAGCGCGTGAATAGCTCGTATTCGTCTCACCGCACCAATTTGTGCATGGGGATTCTTTCGATCGTGCGCCCTGCAGTCATGGAAAACGTGTGCGGCGTGCGGTTGCAGATATACGGCCAAGCACACAGCATGGGCACCATCACACGAAGGAGAAACGGAGCCATTGCCACAATAATAGCAGATCTGAGCGAGCCCACATTGATCAAGTGCTATTGTCATGGTGTGTCAGATCTCTCTGCGAAGCTGTAGTCTATAGGTCTCTGCACCTTCAATTTGAACTTCGTCTCAAGTTGAACCCTCAAAACGGAATCCTCACCCGACGTCCTGGAGAAAAGTAGTTGCACGCGATATTCGCCACGATTGATTGTGCCGCCGCGGCAGAACCAATTATTAGGGTAGCCCGCACGATCAGTAACTTCCGCCGTCGTCTGTCCTGGCATGTTTTAAAGCCTACAAGCTCCACCGGGAACCAAATCGAGTGGAAACTCGGTTGCCTCAGGAGAAAATGGAAATTCTTCTCCATCCACGTGGTTGGCGGTAGCCTCCCCCACCTCCCTGATGACCCTCCGCCAGAAACCTCGCGTGCACCCAAGAGTCAGACTACAAAACATTTTAACGCAAAACCCTATATCGGAGAGAGCATGTTGGGAAATTATAGGTAGGACCGTAGGATGGAAAGCAGCAAAAAAGCCTGTAGATTGTGGAGAACCTCCCCCCCGTTCACATCTGGACCTGACCGACACTTAGAAGATGGTTATCGGACAAACACTCCCCTTCTTGACCCGTCATGCACAACAGGCCGGTCAAAATGCCTGAACCCACTAACGTGTACAGCAGTGACCAGGCCATCGTCGGCCATCGTCAATAGTCAGACTATGTACGTTCACGTCGACTACGTCACCCGAATCGATTGACTTTGTAACGCGTGTTACAGATGCATCACGGCTCACCTCTCCCTTTTTTGCGTCCAAAAACCTTGTAGGTTGCGTAAGACGTAAGACACCACTCCCCCTGGAACGATTTTCAGAGCTCGGTTGCTCCCACGACGTATAGGATGCCCACATCAAACGACACGCGTTCGGGAAGTTCTGGTCGAGGCGATTCCAACGCTTTCATTTTCCGCACCGTCGCTGCTTTTCTTACCGAGTACTACTGTAGTCGAGCTTTGAAAAACGATCCCAGGGGGTATGATATCTTAATCAATCTACGGTATATTCTCCCCCTGCCATGTGCCTCAGTTCCACCCCGGCGCTGAGTTTCCTTCTCCAACTCTGTCAGGCCTCGCCTTCGACCGGCACCGGCCGCCATCGCACAGCAGACACGTGCACGACAGCGCATCCTCAAACAATCGTCGTTGCCGCTACTGCTGTCGAATGTATAATGTCGTCCGCCATCGGCTAAACCTACATATTACGTGTACATTACAGGGTACAACGTACATTGGCTGCCAAGTGAGCGAGTAGATCAGAGAGCAACAAATACGCAGCTCTCTGTCGGCCTGTAGCATCCATCTCGCTCTCTCGTTCTCCCCCCCACACGCAATGTAGCATGCAACGGCGCAACAGCAGCAGTGTAACGACTGAACCCCGTCTGGAAATCATCGACAGTCCCGTGGGAGCGTTACATCCGACCGTTCTCCAGTCTGGGATTATCTTCCTTTTCCAGTTGTGTTAATAGATCCATTAGCATTCATATTTTTAATTATCGTTACGGAGCAACTTTTGTTATTAACGTTATTTGGAAGATGGCCGAGATTCATTCAAAGTGGCAGCTTCATCGCAACCAACAGCCAAGAGGTAGGCACGTGCGAGTCTTCCTCCTAGCAATCGGCGCGATCTACACGGTGTTGTTGCACGTGTCTATCGTGCCTTCCGGGTGGACCTGGAGCTTGATCATCTCACACTCCACCAGGCCTTTGAGTCTTTTGGTTGCCCTTCGAGGTGACAACGAAGGAAGGCGTCGCAGACACAGACGCAGAAATAGTGGAGCGCGTGCAGGAAGTGGGATAGAAAGAGTGGAGCCAACGAGATAACTGTATAATGCGGGGTCGTTGTCAGTGTGCTCTAGCAAATTAGTGACCGGTGTATCTGCAGGGGACGTGACGGCGTTGTATGAAGTGAGATATTTTACGACTGGGAAACATCTGGTCCATGCGTAGAAGAATAATATACGCGGGAATAGAACGTATTGTGGCAACCACACAAATCGTGTGAGTTTCATTAGCGGTGCCGGCTTGAAGAGTTTCACTAGCGTACGGTGGCTGAATAGAAGGACACGAAGGTTATCGCGGACGAGGTTGAGGACGAGAGGCCTGTTCGGAGCAGATCGGCGAAGAAATACGGTGCACAATTTTTTTAGTTGCAGGACCTTCCTACAATCAGCGCCCAAGACCTACTACTTGATCGTGGATGAAATGCGCCCTCTCTCGATGTGTGAGATAGATGCGTTTGGTGAGTGCCATCTCGACGAAGCAGATAACCTGAAAAATAGTAAGATCCTCCGGTATCCAGAGGCGATACGTGACGCAGGGAGATGACAGACTACTTGTATACAGTGTAGTAAGCACTTTAGTCAGGCGGCAGTTGTTGTTGTCCTCACATTAAAACCCGTCCCGGTCTCCGCTCAGTACCTTTTGATGATATCCGTACTGGTCCAACTGATGCGGACGCCTCCCGCTGTCACAAGGCCAACTAACTACCCACAGAGGGTTACACCCTTCTAGCCAGTAGAGAAGGTTCGGTGATGACCTTTTAAACTACGGCCCATGGTGCTTTGCGGAGGCTTCAAGTCCTGGGATATTAATTAGTCTATCTAGAGAGAGAGAGAAAAGGTGCCCGCAGTTTTCTGATTGGTCAATTTCTTGAAAGACCGTTCCAAAGGATGGGGAGCCCTGCAAAAATGTTTTGTGCCTGTTTTTTGTCACTGCGCGGCGGGTGCGGGCGCGTTCAAAGGTGGAGTCTCTGTATTATTGCGTCATCTCGCTGAAAAATGGCGTCGTCACTCGAACATTCCTCAGAAGTTTCTCCGCAATATCATGTACGCTGTAGCAAAGACGTGAGAAAAAAAGCGGTTGAACTGATGTACCGAAACTCTCAGCGATACACCGCTAGTCTCCGCGTCTGGACTTTGACCTCCTAGGGTAGTTGTACGCGAAGTCGCCACGATTGTCCCGCCGCGGCAGAAGCAAGATTCTATTTAGCCCAGCGGGAATCGGTAACATCGTTGCCGCCGTCGTCTCGTGTCCTGGCATGTTTTCAGCCTGCAGACCGCGCCGGGGGCCAAATTGCGTGAAAACACGGCTGCAACACCAAATTGCGCAACGAATGTTCTTGTCCGTCGACGTTGGCGATAGCCTCCGCCTCTCCGTGCCCCCCCACCTCCCTCATGACCCTTTGCCAGAAACTTCGCGTGCGCTTCAAAACCTGAACCGGACAAAAAAGGAGGCACGCAACAACCCTCGAAAGCATTTAGGCCATCTGGCACGCTACCTACAAGATCGATCCCGCCCTGCGGCAAAGACACTATCACGTGGCGCAAGACGGAATGCAACAAAAATCAATTTACTATTAAACCCTGCAAAATTTGGAGACCCTCGTCCCCCCTCCCCCGTCTGCACATCGAGACCTGACCAACACCTAGAAGACGGCTAGGGCAAAAACCTTCCACATCGACCCTCCTGGAGCAACAGGCCGGTCAACGCCTAAACCCACTTAACATAACCCAAAGCGACCAAGACATCGTCACTACACAGGCAGACGACGTACACCCCGACTATGTCATCCGAATCGATTGACAAATTCAACAAGCTTCTTGCCTCGAAAATATATGGGGCAAGGGACGGGATTTCGACGTGTCAAGCAGCTGCGCTATATGTATCACTCGCCCATCCAGCGATCCAGGTTGCAGGTATCCTAGGTATCCTCGTCGCAAAATGGCAGGGCGCATGGACCAACCCCCCACCCCTCGCTCAGTCACTCCCATGCCCATCTAGTCTCCGCCGCAACCTTACAGCCTCCCGTTAGGCCACCCATACAATTCCCACCGGCCTCGGTAGGTCCCGGTACCCTGTTCCAGCCTTGATATACCAGCCGAACAACAAGAACCCACCCTGCTGCTATGCCGCCCTTACCGTATGTCGATCTGTGCTAGCCTACTCAAGTCGCTATCCTACTGCCCTACTTAGCCGCTCTTGGCCTCAGTGTAAGCCCACTCCAGCCACGGCATCAATGCCTCCACGTCTTCCTTCTCGACGGTTGCGCCGCACCATATGCGGAGCCCCGCCGGCGCGTCTCTGTAGCTGCCCACGTCGAACGCTACTCCTTCTGTCTCGAGGAGGCCTACCATGGTCTTCACCTGCGGTCGCCACATGAATACATTGTCCAGGGGAAGGGGGATGGGGGGGAATTTAAATTTTCAAGACCGCACCGATGCCAATAATCATAGCTTCATAAGGTTCGAACCTTCTTCTTCGTCCTGATCAGTGTCGAAATACAAGGACCACACGTTAGCAACCGCTGTTCTTCTTGTCGATTGGATCATGACGGGATACGTAGAGGTCAAGAAAATCACACGAAAATGACGACGACGACGACAGAGACAGCAGCAGCAGCAGCCACAAAAACACAATATGATAGCAGCGGTGGCGGCTAGGGATGTACGTACCTGGTCCTTCTCGAGGTCCAGCGTGAGGCACACCGACGTGTTGGAAGCTGTGGCCGGGTCCTGGGCAAGGTTCCTGATCCAATCGCGCTCGCCACAGAAATTGTTGATGACTCTTGCGTTCGCCTGAAATTCGTGTTCACCCAATCACAATCACGATGTGACGCCCGGGGATTCCATGTTTAGAATGGGGGGGGGGGGGCAGGCCAGGAAGACAAAATTCGTAGTCTGAGGCAATTTTATCGTGCTATAAATAGGGAGCTGGCTGTCACGTTGCGATATCGAAGAGATTGAACCTTGGTCCGATAACTGAGTATGATGTAACGAGCCAAAGAGGCCAAACGTCTACTCTTTCGACTAGGAATAGGTCCAAGCTCGTTCGTCTACACGTGGGCTCTAGAACAGGATCAAGATTTGAACCTTCTCCCGTGTGTAATTTTAGAGTAGACCATGTCACCCCATTTCTGAACAGGACTAGTTTCACACCGTTCGGTGAATGCTTGGTGAGGACAATGTGTACATCGCCATTCTGATGGGCTCAAAAACACGGTAGTTGTCTTACCTCTGATCGCTTGATGAGGCCGTTCAGGCCGCCCACGGTGTCGCACCACTGCAGGGCATCGATGTAGTCTTCCACGCACAGCATGGAAGGCGTATTGATGGTCGATCCGTCGAAGATCGAACGGTCAACCTTGCCCTTCTTCACCTGTTGCCGTTGAAAAGGCATTGAGAACATACACGCCACCAGAGAGAGAGGGGCGGGGGGAGAGAGAGAGACATAGAGCGAGGGAAAGAGAGACAGAAAGAGAGAGAGGTAGCGAGAAACACAGGAACATAGCGAGAGACAGAGAGGCACACAGAGATAGAGCGACACAGAGAGATAGAGAGACACAAAGAGAGAGACACAGACAGAGAGACAGAGACAAAAGGCACAGAAAGGTCATCGACGTGATAGGGGGGGCACGACCAGGTATGTTTAGCGCGAATGAAACTGCGTGCCGAACCAAGGCAGCAAAGATGCCTCTGGTTATGACATCACCGCCAATTACTTTCCATCGTGCGAGGTTGCTCGCGCTGGCGGGAGGCGAGTGAAAGCTTATGTCAGAAAGGGGCTGTGAAACTTGGTGAGGGGAACCCTCCTCCAGCAAAAAAATGAGTAATCTATAATACTCACATCCCCCTCTTCCTTGCGTTCCTTGTAGAACTGTGCATGCAATGCGCCGAAAAACGTCCGAGTCGAGCTCCAACAATTCCTCTAGGACAACGCAACAGAAAAAAAAAACGCAACATGTTCAACACACGCACCATGCGGAAGATCTTGGGCAACGGTCTGTCAGGTGTGAAGGACTCGAGCCTCTCCACTGCTCTTGGCGACAGCACCATCACACCGTGCGCACCCTCCCCGCCGAGAACCTTCTGCCACGAGTAGGTGCTCACGTCACACTGTTCAGAAAGAAGCGAAAACGGGGGTGGGAGGGTGGGCGGGTGGGGCTATTTACTCGCTGTACGTGTCAAACGAGACACGAAAGAGAAACTTCAGTGTGAGAATTTTCGTTCGAGGGAAAGACATGGCCCTCTCTCCATCTCCTGTTGAACGCTCACACATTCATCGCCCTATGATAGCTGCAAGCAACAACATTCATGAGTGCCCCTACTCCCTCTTTCATGACCCGAAGTCGAATCTATCCATGTAAAAGCTGATAAATCCCTCCCCCACCCGTTCCCTCAGGTCCCCGGAGTGGTGAACATCTTGCGCGTGCTGCCCGCAGCGGGGCCTGACATCTGGGACCCTACTCTCATCACCGACATCGATGGGATGGACCACACCGAGGCATACGTCAACAATGATGACGTGTACTAGTGTGCTACTACTGTTGGAGTGCGGTCAAGGTTGCGAAGGGGAGACGACAGGGGCACACGAGCATCCAGCTGTAGCTGACCCACCGCCAGCCGGTCAGCCAGCTAGCCCGCCATGCACGTTATTACTCGTTCTGATTTGAGAATACGAGCATGTTGCAGGTGTCAAACGAAACACCTACAAACACTGCACGCGAGAAATATTTAGTGACGACAGGTAGAAGGCCCGCTTCTCACGGAAAATCAACTGTATTTTTGTTGTTCGATCGTGTCGCAAATAAACGATGAGCACGCGCTCTGCCAAAACACATTTCCCTTCAAAACAACGCCCGTATCAACACTCCTGATTCTTCGATCGAAACGCGCAACACGAACAGCATGTGTTATTTACACCGATCTGCGCGAAGTACCTTGTTCCACGGAATATCCATGGCGAACGCCGCAGACGTGCAGTCGTTGAACGTCAACCCTGTCCGATTGTCCGATATCCAGTCTCCGTTAGGTACCTGGCCGAAACAACAGGAAAAAAACAACTGGACAACTAAGCTGATTTGGACAAACGATGCAACACGACGCTTAAGCCAGGATCGGGGGCGGAGGTGCATACCAACCCCTGAAGTAATGCCTCCTTTAAGCACATCCAGCGGCCAGCAGCTCTCGATTCCTAACGACGCTGATCTCTCTCCATCGAGCACTCCGCCATTCTTCCAGTCCGACTGGACCGCTAGAATACGCACACACAACATCGGGGTCTTCGAGGATAATTGCTACTGTAGCCCGAACGCATGGCTGACGAAGCCTGGTCGTCAATCGCAGGACCAAAATACACAGCTCAGGAAAGCCCCGACCCATCCACCAATCAGAGCACGGAACACTAGAATAAACGGAAAAAATAGCTGAGGCAAGCAGTTGATGGACCAAGAGGTAGACACGTAAGACAGACAGGAAACGTGGTCCATGACCAAAATCGCCGGCCTACCCTTCGCGCGAGTGCTCCCCTTCTATGGGGAAGAGGAACATACGGCAGCAAGACTCGACAACACGAACACCAAAAAGTCACCCGACAGGCCGACAGAAAGACAGACAGACAGACAGACAGACAGGCAGGCACGAGACAAAAGTGAACAAGTGTCACCTTAACCCCCGATGTGGTTCCGTTCCAGGTGAAGAGGATGTCCGAGTCCGGGTTGGTCTGGCTCAAGTCGGGCAGGTGCCCGTAGTCTGCCGTGTGCTCCGTGACCTGGTCCTTGAGCCCCAAGTGGGTCATTGCGTCCCCGTGCCAACCCTGATAAACAAAGAGAAAAAACGAAGCAACAGTGGTGATATCATACAGCTTACGATAGGACAGGACGCACGTTTCGCTGTGGGTGGACATGCTTCCTCTGGGATCGCCTTCGCGCGATTAATGACTTTATGAGGAAATACAACAGGGAGGGGGGTACGCAGACTCTATTCCCTAACCCAACTTCCCCGATTGTATGCGATATACAACATGTTTAATTCATCGAAAGACCCTGCGAAGACCGCTGTTCCTCTGTGGCTGGCGCACGGGGATACCCATATGGTCATTTGTTCTCGTCGTTGCTGCCTTTACATTAAAAAACCGGCTCGGTCTCTGCTCAGCACCTGCCAACGTCCGTACCGATCCAACTGACGCTGCCGCCTTCCGTAGTCAGAAGCCAACCGTGTACACTGAACTAAACTAGTGTACGGGTGTACTCATAGCCGTAGTCGTTAGACAATTTACCTCGCATTCCTACATAAAGCCGGGACGGAGCACGCCGGGTTTTCACCGGACCAGGTTAGCACATCGCCAAGCGCGAAGCGCCGTGAAGTACCGACGAGCCGTTTCGAGTGTGCATCCTGCCAATATTTAGTATTCAAGTGTAGGCGGCGTAATTTTTTCTGTGTGACCCACCTTTCCGAAGGACTCCCAGTGGCAAGAGTCGATGTCGCGGGGTCCAAGCATGGACCACATCGCCATCTCGTACGCCCCGGTGTCCGAAGCGGGTACCTGATGGCAAGAGAGCAAAAAAATAACGCACAAGAAGGGTTTAGCATAAAAAAAAAAAGACGGAACCATATCACACAGGGAGGAAACAGGGTGAAAAACGAGTGGTACCTGATCGCAAAGGCACAAAGCATCCGCACAAACAACGTCAACGTACAAACAGTACGGCAGAATCTCCCATAGCGAAGAAATATGATGAGAAACGAGTGGGTGCCTGAGTGCACACGCACGAGAAACCAGCACACAAACATGGTCAATATACAACACACACGGTGGGAGCATATCACATAGCCAGGAGAGTATCGTGAAAAACAAGAACAACACCTGACCGCAGAAACCATCGACTCCTCTCGCTGGTGCCATGATGATGTCATTGTTCATCATACGACGCAGAGAACAAAAGATTATCGCTTGATTGTCTTACGATGGTGATAACAATGATTATCGCTATTTGTTGTCCTGCAATGTGGAGAAAGCTTCAAGAATACCGCTCTTTACTCTTACAGTGCGATTCCCAGAAGGATAGTAACCGCTTTTCTAGTCTTACGATGTCGAGAATCAAGACTAGTAGTATCGCTTTCGTCTTACTATGCCGAAAAAATTAAGACACTATCGTATGGTTATTTTCTATGTTCGCCTTACGATGCCAAGAAGGTATAATAGTCGTCCGGGATACCGAGGGCTACCACGTTCTAGTCTTACGATGTCGAGAAGTAAGACTATTGTATCGCTTGCGTCTTACGATGCCGAGAATTAAGACTATCGTACCGCAATTTTCTATTTGCGTCTTACGATGCCAAGAAGGTAGTCGTCCGGGATACCGAGGATGCGCTTGGACTCCTCGATGGCGTACTTGAGACGAGCCTTCCCGACCTTGGAACGGTGAGAGCGGCCCAGCGACTCCGACTTGAGCTCCGACGCCGACCATCTGGCAGAAAACAAAAAACGAAGCCAGACAAGAAAAGGGAGTACAGCAGTAGCTTCCTCTTGTCAAGCTTGCAGTCTTCCATGATCACTTCATGACACTCCGACAGAAAAGACCCCACTGAATGAGAACCTCTTAATCGCCCTGAGGCTTCTTCCTCGTCTTCTCTGCGGGGTATTATGTACCCCCATCATCGACCAATAAACTCAAAGCGTTTATGCTTACGTCTGTCTAACCCTGGCCGTTTCTCAAGGGTCTAACGAGGACATGACCTTTCTTTCGTCCCACGACCAACTCCTCCTTCAGTTGCTACTGGGCCAGGGGAGAACAACGCCCAGGCCCATTATCTCGCAAAGCCGCACTCACAGACTTCCTATCGTTGCTGGAAACCTCACCCCCCCCTCCCGCCCCCCTCGCTCTTCTCACCGTCAATTACCCCGCCTAATGCCTTCGCGTTCCATGACAGTGCAAGCAACCAACCAACGCCTGCATCCCCTCGTGTCACCAAGATATCGTACGACCACCACCTACTACTAACACCGGGACTAATACAACAACGCCAACTACACACTACGACCAATTCTGTCATGTACCACAATCTCCAATAAGTTGTGCTATTTGACGATGCCGTGCTGTCTCTCATCTCACCCTGGGCGCTTCTTGCACGGACCAGACGAAAACTCCGGGTGCTGCGGCTTATCCGGGGGCATGGGGGTTCCGTAGACTTGTCCCTGGGAGGCCTCGTCCGTGTCCATGCGGAACGAAGGGTCTTCTCTGCTGTCGATGCTGGCCTGTTCGTTCAAGCAGTCACCGCCAAGCGAAAAAAAAATACAAAATGAGAAACCATGGAGAGGACAGGGGTGCAGTGCAGTGGTGCCCTAAAGACAGCAACAACGATCCATTACGGGTTGGCGTTTTGTATCTGCCAACGACAACTGAGGGAAGCTGCCCTCTCCCCGTCTGTACGAAAGTAAGGCGGCTTTTTCTCCGAACGGATCTAAACCATATCTGTATCTTGCACGACGCTACATGCGCCTGTCCGGCAATTTTCTCATGTTTTCTCAAAGTCCATCGACTCAAGCCGTTCCACACGGGCCAAGAGGTGGTGAGAGGCATACGTTGGGTTTACAGACAGGCTCCCTCGATAGTGCGGTCGACGACATCATATACCGAGTTCTCTCAATAGTCAACACCGGACTATTCTATTGAGGGAGCTTCTTCGCCTGCAGACACAGACAGTGTTTGCCCAATGAGGGCTAAAGTTACGGTTTGGGTTCGCTTCGCTGTTACTGTATAGTGCCATACATACCTGAACGACGTTGCGGATGTCAGGAATCTTTCGGATCTCCTCCAGCATGCCCTCCGTGCAAGGGGTGTCGAGGTTGAGGCAGCTCATCGCCACGCCTCCGGTGCGGACACGGCCGAGCGCGAAGGAGGCGATGTTGATCTGCACGACAACAACAACAACAACAACAACAACAAGCAAGGGAGAGCCGACAAGAAGATCATGAACCGTGCAAAGGCAGATAGGGGGCCCCGTAGGGGATGAAAAGTCAGAGTGTCTCTCCTCCAGAGTCTGGGGGTGGTAAAGTACAAAATATTGCGTCATCTCCTTTTATTAAAGAATACACCAGTTCGATTTAGTATTCCCTCCCTCAAGTATTTGGACCAAACCCCAGTTACGGGCAGAGCGCCCCAACCCGCGTTCCGTGAGTCCGCTTGAGGGTAACGAAATGTTCAAGCCGAGAGCACACCTTTGAAAGGAATCAAGCCACCGCCAACCTATTATCTCTCTGCCTGTTGCTTGGCAGCCTATACGTGGGCAAGCCTACTGGACAACCAGCATATGAAACCATTTCATCGTGATCACTATCGTACATATCATCAGCCACAATCTCCCTTGTGGCCTGATGACCCCGCCCCCCCGTTCAGTTGGCGTTATGGTCTCACCCCCTGGTCGCCGAGGATAGCGGCCACGGCTCGGAGCATGCCCGGAGAGTCCGGGTTGTTGAACATGAGCATGTGTCCGCTGGGGTTGAAGTCGATCTCGAGGCCGTCCACGTCCACCACTCGCGTGTCCGTTCCGAAGCACGTTCCTGCATTTCATTTGGCGAAACCCCGCCCGATACGAGCATTAAAAAAAAAAAGATGACAAAAAAAAAGAAAGAAATTAGATGCACCCCGCCGGCATGTGGGTATGTGCTGCTGAGAACACCCCGTTCGTACACAAGGAGACGCCACATACTCGGGCACCGCTGTGGACAGAAATAACCAGGTGTAATGACTCGAAAGCGTGTTTGCGTTCTTCGTCCCGCTACAAGGCCAAAGCCATTTCGTTCGTCAGACGGTCAACGTGTTCGATGCTAAATAACTATTATATAATAGTAATAGGTGAGGCCGCTCGAACGCGTGTTTGCGTTCTTTGCCCCGCTTCAAAGCCGCAGTCATTTCATTGGCCGGACGGTTACCGTAAGTTGCATAGGATATTACACCCCCTGGACCGATTTTCAAAGCTTCATTACTCCACGACGAATGCAGAAATCAGATGATGATGATACGTTTTTCGGAAAGCTCTCGACGGGACCGTTCCAACGCCGACACTTTCGGCACCGTCACTGCTTTTCCTGCCGCGATATCGAGCTTCGAACATCGGTCCAGGGCGTGTGATATCCTACGCAACCTACGGTAACGTGGTCGATGCTAAATACTGTAAAAGTGCACCCACAAACACACACCCTCTGGGGCTCCAGATCATGGGCTTTGCACGTGTTTCCCGATTTTGGTCTAGCATTAGCGCGGTCGATGCCAACAAAACAACAAAAAAGTATAGGGAAGAGAGAGAGGGAGAGAGAGAGAGAGAGAGATGGGGCTTACCGGTCATGGTCCTTCTGCCGTTGAGAACGCCGTCGATCTCGAACTCCACGCTGAGCCCGTTGAGGTAACCCTTAGGGTCCCGCTCCGAAAACGCCACCTCGATCGCCAGACCCGTGTCCTTCGCCACGGCAGCAGCGTTAACGTAGTTCACCTGTCGCGTGCATCGACAGCGACATCGACGATCGGACCGGATTTGCCAGAGGGGGGGGAAGTAGAGCGTGTCAGCTTGCGCACGCACAGGGACGACTAGCATCGGGAGGGAGGGGGAAGGACCCCAGGGGTGGGGGTCAGCTTGCACGAAAAACACATCACCTCCTCCCCCATGCTGGTCTGCGCTGAGAAAAATCACGCAGCGGACGGAATGTGCCGCCAGCGTTAGCCAAGCCAGACAGGGTACAGGGCATCCCCACACAGGAGCAACACCGCCCCCGCCATGCTTTCGTCTACAGCCGGAATTTAGCAGCAGTTTGGTGCTCTGTGCGTGATTCGTCATCTCGCCAACTCTGGGCATGAACGAGAAGTAAAAATAACACGGTATGCCCTTCGCGTTCTCCGCAACCAACCCAGATACAGAACGCCTGTAAAAGGCCTGTTGCCAGGGACAACAACAGCCTTTCGACGACGAGGTCATTGTCGACCAAACCCTTTCCTTCCAACCACAAAAAAAAAATGCCCCCCCTGCACCCTCTCCTTATGATTCTTCGCCCAAGCCATGAAGCATTTACGTCTGCATGCGTAATTTACCTCCTGGGCGAGAAGGAGGTTGAGCGCTCCCTTGATGACAGCGGCGGACATGGGCCCCGCCTTTTCCGGCACTCCCAGGTTCTTGCCGTGAAGAGTCCCCTTGATGCTGGGGACTTTCAACACAACAACAACACCAATAAAAACGACAACAAGGCAAAATTGACGTACAGCACATATGGATCAGGAAGAACCGGCAGAACAGGGAGGGGGGGGGGGGGGCATCGTTGGAGCTGTCATGCTGGAGTACACCACAACAATATTTTACTGGTGTTTGGAACGTGGAGGGGTACGCCGCGTACGGGCCGGAGGTTGGATCTGAAGGCATTTTCATGCAGCACATGTACGCACCAAACCAGCGCATCAGCAGCAACAGCAACAACATCAACAACACACATAGCAACACAACATCAGTAACAATATCAAGGGCATCATCAACAACGACATCGGCACCAACAGCAGGAGCAGCAGCAGCAGCAGCAACAACAACAACAACAACATCAATAACGCACCTTCCCCTGTCCCAGCAGCTGCGCCTGGAGTGCCCCCATCCTCTCCCCGAGAGACACGTACGCCGTGAGCTTTGACTTGCGCGCGGCGGCCATGTTCGGCGCGTTGAGCACCCCCACGTACTCCCCGCCGTCGAGGACGTCGCACATCTGGATCGCGATGTCCTTCGCCACTCTCACCTTCGACAAAAAACGACAAACCCACAAGACACAAACAAACAAAATGTGTGATTCCAAAGGACACACATGTGGGTCTCGCGCGGTCACAAAACGACAAACCACAAGACACAGACAAACAAAAGGTCACAAACCAGCATCTACCAGCAACTAAAAAAAGTACAAAGGACGCGCATATTGGTCCCGCGCGTTCACAAAGCGACCACTCATAAAAAAGCAACCACGACAAAAAAAAAAGGTGCACAAATCAGATGGAAGGTACGCAGAACAATCATGTAGGTCTCGCGCTTTACAAAGCGAGCACCAACAAGCAACTAAAAAGGGGTACAAAGGATATACTTAAGGGTCTCGTGCGTTTAAGAATGAGCGCCAACCAGCAACAACCAGAGAGGTACAAAGGACGCAAATATCGGTCTCGCGAGTTAAAACGAGGGCCCACAAGCAAAAAATAAAAAAAAGGGAGAACACAAGGAACGACATTGGTCTGGCGCGCTTACAAACGAGCATCCAACACCACCACCAACAACAACACAACAGGTACTTCGTGAAAGGATATTAGTGGGTCTCGCGCGGATAGTGCGTTCTCGTTTTGCAACCTCCACGCCTTCCGTACACATGTGTCAGCTATCGATCGGTCTGCGTTGGTCGCAAGCCCCATGGACATCGCCATGAGCGCGCGCTCCGCCGCCCATAACTCACGCTCACGAAAAAGACATACCGCGACAACAAACAACACGAACTTTGTTGGGCACATTTTTCTGCGTCCATTCATATTCCGTGTTTCGATTTCTAGAAGTAACGGTAGGTGGCCTGCGGCTACGGAAGGCGGTCCGGTACGGATGTTACAAGGTACTACCGTATATGACACAAGATAACACACCCCCTGGACCGATTTTCAAAGCTCGATTACTCCACGACGAAGAGGATGCATACACGAAACAATACGTTTTCGAACAGCTCTCGACGAGACGGTTCCAACGCCGCCGTTTTCGGCGCTGTGACTCTTCCTGCTGTTGAGAAATTGAGCTTTGAAAATCGGCCAAGGGGGTGTGTTATCTTGTGTCATATACGGTAGGCGGAGACCAGAACTGTTATTGCAACAACACCACCACATAAACACGACGACAACAGCAACAGCAACAGCAACAGCAACAGCAACAACAACAACAACAACAACAACAACAACAATAACAACAAACATCCGGCAGCGGGAGTGGTTGCGGGTGCGCTGCGTGAACGCATCAACTGCACCGCCCCGTGACGCACCTGAGCGTCTTGCGTCGACGCCCCCAGGTGGGGCGAGCATACGACCTTGGGGTGCGTGACGAGCTCCTTCAGCTCGGGCGGCGGAGGCTCGCTCGGGTACACGTCCAGCGACGCTCCGGCCACCTGAAGCATGCAAGCACCACACACGGGGAAAAGTGACAACGCGAAAGGGGGAAGGCACAGAAGGGGCGCGGGGGGGCAAGGGGGAGGTTGTGAAAAAAAAAAAAACTGCCTGCGAAGATGCGTACCTGAAGATACACATGACACAACAGGCCTCACTTTGAACGAGATTCGCAAGAAAAATCGATTGCGCCGCGTATGCCCACGTATTTCGGAACAGGGACTTGAACACGGCACGGAATGGAATGGAAGGTATGGTGTGGTACGGTACGGTATGTTGTGGTATGGTACGGTATGGTCACTCTTCGAGAAGGGGGGAACACGATCTCACGAGAACGTGCAAACTGAGAAATGCCAAGACAGCAAAAACACGAACAACGTCAAAAGCGAGATAAACGTATGTGTATGATTCTGTACAGATGTACCGTCAAATTTTCCAAGTACTCGATACATGCTATTGTGCAGCGGACGCTCTAGTCGTAGGTACATAGATCCATTCTTGCGCGCAGACGCGTACCACAAGAGCCATTCTCTTCATGACACGAGGCACCGCCGAGATTGTCATAGAACCCAAGCCCACACGATACCGCCCACTTCCCCACCCCGGTCGTTACTGGTAAGCGACACCAAAAATCGAAACAATTGCTATTAAGCAAACCTACGAATGCCATCGGCGTTTGTATGTATTAGTAGTAGTTCCAAGCTGCTTTATGTTTGCGCTTTTAAGCTGCTTTTATCTTTTGCGCTTGTGTTGCAGGCTTTGAGAACGGAAGCGGAGAGGGACCCCAATAGCACGCAAGACGATGGAGAGCACGACAGCTACAACTGCCATTATCGAGGCAACAGCGAGGATAAACAAACCGGAAAGCTGAAAACAACAGACCCACACCTGATCGTCAACTTGTTTTGAGATGCAGATGGTCCAACCCTCTGTGTCAAAATCCGAACAACCTTTGCGTGCGAACAGTAGTGGGCCGACTTGGAAAAAGAGAAGGTGGTGGTACAATAGGACTTATACCACCACTTTATCTTCTTCGAAATCGCCCCACACGTACTCGTGTACAAAGGTTCGTCGGATTTGACACACAGGGACCATCCGCATCTCCAAAACAAATGGACGATCGGTGGTCAGGTCAGGCTCGAACACACGACAACCAGGAGTGGAGCTTAGCGTGTGCGGGAGCGGGGGGAGGAGTGCACCAAAAGTGCGTAAGGACCCTAAGTTATCCGCAGAGGAACAACAAAAGAAAACGAAGCCTTCTTCAAGGGGAAAGCATGCTGAAAGTGGGTCGCATGAGATACCACACGACGCCCTGTACAGCGAACGCTCTTGTGGTGTAGTCCTAGGCAGGTCGGTTTCTTCGACGTAGACCCTAACTCACCACAGCAGGCAACAGGCACCCTCTTCGTCCACAAGGCACAAGACACCGCAGAGACCGTCACAGAAGAACCCAACCCCAAGACAAAACGCCCCGCCCTCTCACCGGTGTCCTCTCTGGTAAGCGACAACCCAAATCGCAACAATTGTTGCTAATCGAGCCAACGAATGTCGTCGGCGTTTCTATTTAGTCCCAAGGTGCTTTATTTTCGCGCTTGTGCCGCAGGCTTGGAGAACGAAAGCGGAGAAGGACTCCCTGAGCACGCAAGACGATGGAGAGCACGACAGGTACACGTACCACTATCCAGGCAACAGTACGAGGGCAAACAAAACGAAAACCTGAAAAACAGCAGACCCACACCTGATCGTCAACTTGTTTTGAGACGCAGATGGCCCAACCTTGTGTGTCAACATCCGGGGCAATTTTCGTGCGAATATATGGGTCGACTTCGAACAGGAGGAAGTGGTGGTATAACAGGGGTCTTGTTTGACCACACGACAGAAGGGGATTTCGGCCGCAAACCAGTCCATGACGTCCGTTGCCTGGAGCGTCAGAGCAACACAATCGAGACGCTAGGGTGCAGACTCTTGCACCCTGGCGTTTCGAACGTGTCGTGCTAGCGCTCCAAAGCAACTCACGCCATCGACTGATTTACGGTCGAAGTCTCCTCCTGTTTCGTGACCAAGTAGGACCCTAGTATACGACCACTTCCTCTTCTTCGAACTACCCCACATGTGCGTACGCAAAGCTCCTCAGCTTGGGCTTGGCCATCTATCACAAAAACAATTGACCATCGGCCATCAGGCTAGGACACACGACAAACCAGTGAGGCAGGGAGATGTGTGGAAGTGGAAATGAGCGAGTGCGCAGGAGGGGGAGAGTAACCAAACTGCGGAAGGACCCCGACCCATCCGCAGAAGAACAACCCCAAAAAAATGGAACGCACGCTGAAAGGTGAAACGTAGGTCACGTGAGATAACCACACACCCGGTACAGCGGACTCTCCAGTCGTAGGAAGGTCGACTCTTGTATGTCGACCCTTGCCACAAGAGCCGCCCTCTTCATCCACACGACACAGCGTTCCACCCCGGCCCTTGCCAGCTTGCTGGTAGACCACACCAATATCGGACATTTTTTTTCTAACAGCAAGTCGACGAACATCGTCGGCGTTTTGCGAAGTAGTCCCAAGCTGCTATGCAGGCTTACTAATTCACGTTGTGCCGTAGGTTTTGAGAACAGTAGCGGGGTGCGAACCCCACGCAGGAACCTGACAGCACGACAGGTCGCTCTATTATTCAGGGAAGCGGCATGACGGTACAACAGAAAACGACCCAGACCGATGGACATTTTCTTTGGGGTACATGTCCGACCCCGCGTGTCCAAAATCCAAGGAAGATTGCGCGCGAATATGTTGGGGGCGTTCCAAGCACAAGGTGGTAAATTACGCGTATAATACAGTATTTGTAGTCGACCCTCAACAACGCCGGATGAATAGCGCCGGTGGCACTGTAAAGCGCGTGTGAAATTGCTGCGCACAGTCTCAAGTCTGAATCACCAAGTAATTATGTTCATTCAACAGCGCCGGTCGATGCGCCGGGCACATACCGACGTGATTAAAGGCCCTCCACTGCAGTGGTATACTTCTACCGTGTACAGCAGTAGTTGATGACGGAGATAATGAAATGATAATGAAATGAACGGTACTCAGGTCGACAACGCTCGCTTCCCTGGAGTGCCAGCACGACACGTTCAAGGCACCAAGGCGCAAATAAGCTTCGAAGAAGACACCTTGAAGGCACCAAGGCGCAAAGAAGCTTCAAAGAAGTCTTCTTCGAAGCTTCTTTGCGCCTTGGTGCCTTCTTCTTCGAAGTTTCTTTGCGCCTTGGTGCCTTGAACGTGTCGTGCTGGCACTCCAGGGAAGCGAACGTCGTCGACCTGAGTACCGTTCATTTCTTCATGTTCCCCGTGACCAGCAACTGTTTGCCACTAAAAATGGTACACACTACAATCGCTTGTTCTTGGAACGAACCCCACACGTTCGCTCGCAAAGCGCCCTTGGCTTTGGACGCGGATTTGGCCGTCAATCCCAAGACAACAATTGACGATCGGCGGTCAGGCTCGAAAATGAGTGAGACAGGACCAGTGTGGCGAGTTCGGGAGTGCAGTTGAGCGTGTACGTGTCCGAGGGGGGGGGAGGGGGGCTCGTGGACAGGACCAGTGTGGCGAGTTCGGGAGTGCAGTTGAGCGTGTACGTGTCCGAGGGGGGGGGAGGGGGGCTCGTGGACAGGACCAGTGTGGCGAGTTCGGGAGTGCAGTTGAGCGCGTACGTGTCCGGGGGGGGGGAAAGGGGGTCCTGGGTTGCCGCTGCACCA